ATAGTCACATAAAACCATATATACTAGGTAAAATGTGGGCAAGAAGAACATTTTAACCCCACCATTTCTGACAATGCCACATGTTCTAATACTTTCATTGTGCTGAAATTTTCATTGCATTAGACACATTTTTAAATAAATGGGCTACTGGCCAAGGCTTGGAGATCTTTTTGTTATGTGATGATTTCTTGTTGTGTCAAATTTGTGCTGCCTTAGCAGTTATGACAAGCTCAAGTGATTTTCAGAGCCTAATTTATAAGTTAGTGGTTTGGGCACTGGTAGAATTTGTAAGTTAATCACAAAATTGTATTTGACCAAGTCACAATGATGACATCTTTGATATTATATAGTGACATATCTATAACTTCAAAATACTAGCATGTAGTGTTGCTACGACCTGACCTGGTGTGCAGTGACTGAGAGCTCATTTGTAGCTCTCACCCGAAGAAATTTAGTAAAGAGGTGAAAGGGTCTTGGTTATAACCATTAAACCTATAACGCCTATCCCAGACTGTATTTGAGTAAGATCATGATACAGAAAATATTATAATGACATTGTATTTGTCCTTTTTCCTAGATGTGGCCTTCTTGTATATCATCTTGGTTTGCCTTTTTCCTTCCTAACTTTGCCGTATGTAGAAGCAGCCATTAAGATTGTTTACTGTGAAAAGAAATGTGGAAACTGCTCTCTCACGGTATTTTTCTGAATTATTTTTCTGGGGAGAAAAGAGGAAATCTTTTAAGAGATTATCATGAAACACTAACTTATTTAGATAACTCAATGCTTTTGCAGGCGTACTAAAATAAATAACAATAATTTTTATAATTAAACACATATCCTGTCATCTAACCTTTATTTATTTATTATTATTATTATTTTTGAGAGGGAGTCTCCCTCTGTCGTCCAGGCTGGAGTGCAGTGGCGTGATCTCGGCTCACTGCAAGCTCCGCCTCCTGGGTTCACGCCAACTCTCCTGCCTCAGTCTCCCGAGTAGCTGGGACTACAGGTGCCTGCCACTATACTCTGCTAATTTTTTGTATTTTTAGTAGAGACGGGGTTTCACCCTGTTAGCCAGGATGGTCTTGATCTCCAGACCTTGTGATACGCCCGCCTGGGCCTCCCAAAGTGCTGGGATTACAGGCGTGAGCCACCGCGCCCGGCCTAACCTCTACTTTAAAATATCTTTTGAAGATCGATGTTGATGCCTTTATCTAGAAGGGCTTTGGAAATTAAAAGTCAATGTATTGTATTTCAGTTACCACCAAATGATGTTGCATGAGCATAAGCGCTCAAAGAATTTAGTCAACACAAAAAAGCAACATTATTGTAGTATCCTGAACTTGTTAGCACAAGAACGTAGCAGTAGCAAAGCTTACCCACAGCATTACTTGGAATGGAACTGGGGCCAGAAACTACTTAATTTATTGAAGATGCAAGACTATCACATTTTTCCTGAAGCCCTTCCACTGTCTGCCCATCTGCAGTTTGAGTTTACTTCAGAATGGAATAAGTTTTCTACTCATTACTGATATTTATTTCCTAACAACCACGAAAATATTTCTTCCTTGTTATGAGAACTATATTTAAATCTTTTTTAAATATAAAAGGCACTCAAAGAATTTAATTTGTATTAACTAGACTTGTTTTCCTTCATAACAAAAAGGAAAATAATTCTAAACAATGTTCCATTGATAGGTCAGATTGGGAAAATTTGAACTTAGGTTTAAAAACAATTCTCAATTTTATTTGTAGGTTGTATTTCCTTCAGATTTTCCCCAGCTCTAAAGAAAGCTGCCTCAAATTTTTAACAAATTTAATTAATTAATTAATTTAGTTGTTAAGGAGTACAACAAGTTACTTACTCTAGTTATGTAATTTTCACATTTTAACCTTTATAATGATCTTTTGAGGGTTATTTTACTACTTTTAAAGATGAGGAGACTGAGGTAATGGAAGAAAATACTAAGAGTAATGACAGAAAAGTACTAACTCAACCTGTACTAAGCTTTTATTAAATACTAACTATAATGATTCCTCGTATTTTGGGATTATTTCTGTATTTCTCATTTGTGCAAATGCTTAATAGTTATAAATATGCCCAGTTATATTGAAAAAGTCAGTACAAGTTATCAAAATATGCTTAAAATGTGTGGATCATCTGTAAATACGAATTACAGATGAGACACTATTATTATCTGATATGCCAAATCAAATTGGAGTTTTTCTATTTCATTGTCTCCTAGATACCACTGATTATACGACATATTATCTGATGTACTATTTAGGAAAAAAAATGCTGCTAAATTAATTAAAGTAGGATACAGTGAGAAAACACCACCAACAGTGTGGTACATTCTAATTTTAGGGATATTAAAATCTAAAGAAATAAGCATCACAGAATCAGTAAAATATAGTAATTTGTTTCTGAAATTAGACTACTGGCAAGGTACGGTGGCCCACGCCTGTAATCCCAGCACTTTGGGAGGCCGAGGTGGATGAATCATGAGATCAAGAGATCGAGACCATCCTGGCCAACATGGTGAAACGCCATCTCTTCTAAAAATACAAAAATTAGCTGGGCCTGGCGGCACATATCTGTAATCCCAGCTGCTTGGGAGGCTGAGGCAGGAGAATCACTTGAACCTGGGAGGCGGAGGTTGCAGTGAGCCGAGGTAGTGCCACTGCACTCTAGCCTGCCGAAAGAGCCAGAATCTGTCTCTAAATAAATAAGCAAATAAACGAAAGAAATTAGACTACTACCATGGGTATTTGTGTTTGTTTAAACCTTGAACACTTTGAACATTATTCAATATATTTTAAACATATATCAAATTGTTTATAACTTTGGAAGCAAACACTATTAGCTTCTAATGTAGAAGTAATTCAGAAATAACCAAATAAAGTACCACTTAGTAGTTGTATGCTAAAATTTAATTAAATTTATAACCTTTTAAAACCTTCAAAACATCAAAAGCATATCACTTAGTGAGTCTTTGGGTTTCTAAGTTGATTTTGCAATTTTATTTACAAATTAGTCTTAGATTGAGATTTAATGTTACATTTCTGTATCTATAGGTTTTGATTCTCTGATTGGTAGGTACCACAAAACAATAAAGACTTCCAGTAAATTAAAGAACTAGGATCATGCAGAATGGATATTACGGTCAGTGGGAGTCAGGCAGTAATTTGCTATTTTCAGCTGACAGCCTTATGGTAGGGAGACATTAGAAAAGCTTTGGTGAAGTTCAGAACGTTTCCTGGCATAGGATGAAGTATGAAAAACTAACACATTTGAGCAGAGTTTATTAGCATTTTTGAATTATCAGATAAATTAATATTAGATTACAGTATCATATAGTATTAGATGAGATGCACTGTTGACACAGGTGCAGAAGTTTCCATAGAGTTCAACTGATTTTCTTATTTTTTTTGTTTTTTTGAGATAGGGTCTGACTCTGTCACCCAGGCTGGAGTGCAGTGGCACCATCTGAGCTCACTGCAACCTCCACCTTGTGGGCTCAAACAATCCTCCCACCTCAGCCTCCCAAGTAGCTGGGACTACAGGCATGTGCCTCCACGCCCAGCTAATTTTTGTATATTTTGCAGAGACGCGGTCTCGCCATGTTGCCCAGGCTGGTCTCCAACTCCTGAGCCCAAGCAATCTGCCCGCCTTGGCCTCCCAAAGTGCTGGGATTACAGGCATGAGCCACCATGCTCGGCCCAGGTCAACTGAATTTAGGATTTGATATTAAATTGATTTTCCTGCAATCTAAGTTCCTTTTGCCAGTTTACTTCATTTGCTTCTGCAAATATAAGTACAGTGGTTTGGCTTTCTTTTTAAGCCTTTAATAAAATGTCTAGGTGTTGAGACTAACATCAGACTCTTTCTCATTAATATAATAAAAAGCGAGCTCGATTCTAATTAATTACTTAGAATTTCACATATGTTAGCTCTACAAATCATTTTTCATGCATTATTCCTATATCTATAAACTTGTTAATAAGTGATTTATAAATTTGTTCCAGACTCTCAAAGATGAAGACTTTTGTAGAAGTGTATCTTTGGCTACTGTGGATGAAACAGTTGAAGCTCCACAGCCCCATTACCATCATGAGCATCATCACAATCAGGGACATCAGCACCTTGGCAGCAGTGAGCTTTCAGAGAATCAGCAACCAGGAGCACCAGATGCTCCTACTCATCCTGCTCCTCCAGGCCTTCATCACCACCATAAGCACAAGGGTCAACATAGGCAGGGTCACCCAGAGAGCTGAGATATGCCAGGAAGTGAAGGTTTACAACATCTACAAAAGAAGCTCTGACGAAAGAGATGTATAAATCAATTACTCTGTAAATTGCCCAAAGATTCAGAGCTGGCTCCTAGGAGCTGATGCTGCCATTGTCGACATCTGATATTTGAAAAAACAGGGTCTGCAATCACCTGACAGTGTAAAGAAAACCTCCCATCTTTATGTAGCTGACAGGGACTTTTGGCAGAGGAGAACATAACTGAATCTTGTCAGTGACGTTTGCCTCCAGCTGCCTGACAAATAAGTCAGCAGCTTATACCCACAGAAGTCAGTACCAATTGACGCTGAAAGAGTAAGGCAAAAAAGTGAGAATGATCTTCAAACTAAATATTTGAAATAGGACATACTCCCCAAATCAGTCTAGACACAATTTCATTTCCAGCACTTTTATAAACTACCAAATTAGTAAACCAGAAATCGAAATTAGATTTGTGCAAACATGAAGAAATCTACTGGATTGGCTTCCAGATTTTAAATTTTATGTCATAGAAATATTGACTCAAACCATATTTTTTATGATGGGGCAACTGAAAGGTGATTGCAGCTTTTGGTTAATATGTCTTTTTTTTTCTTTTTCCAGTGTTCTATTTGCTTTAATGAGAATAGAAACGTAAACTATGACCTAGGGGTTTCTGTTGGATAGTTAGCAATTTAGAATGGAGGAAGAACAACAAAGACATGCTTTCCATTTTTTTCTTTACTTATCTCTCAAAACAATATTATCCTTGTCTTTTCAATCTTACACTTTTAACTAATAAGTGGATTTTGTATTTTAAGATCCGGAAATACTTAACACATGAATATTTTGCTATAAAAGCATATATAACTATATTTTAAATATCCGTTTATCTTCTGTATATCTAAGACTTATATCCTTATTTTTACTATCACACATGAATAAAGCCTTTGTATCTTTCTTTCTCTAATGTTGTATCACACTCATCTAAAACTTGAGTGGCTGTCTTAAAAGATATAAGGGGAAAGATAAAGAATATTGTCTGTCTCTATATTGCTTAGTAAGTATTTCCATAGTCAATGATGGTTTAATAGGTAAACCAAACCCTATAAACCTGACCTCCTTTACGGTTAATACTATTAAGCAAGAATGCAGTACACAATTGGATACAGTATGGATTTGTCCAAATAAATTCAATAAAAACCTTAAAGCTGACTTTTTTGTTATGTAGGCTGTATGTGTATATTGAAACTTTCTATTGCTTTTAAATAAATACCAACTAATGAATTTACTGCTAAGCTCAAAACCGTCTACGCTTAAGGTGAGAATCTTTGTCAACAGAAAGGCGTTGCTCTAAATCTCGAATGGTATTACGAAGAATTGCAATCTCCTTGTTTTTTTCTTCTTGAAAATGTTGCAGTTTCTAAACAAAACAAAAAATTTGTTATTACAATTCAGAAATAATAAAATTTAGTACAAGGAACAACAAAATTACAATAAAGAAATACACTTCTGCTATAAATTGATATTTTAAAAAATACCTTACATTGTTAATAAGAATTAGATGATTTTTATAGAAGCATGCTTAGAAAGTTTTCTTAAGCAACGAATAATGAGAGGAAAACTCACATACCCTTCTGTAGATACTTTGTGGCAAAGCAGTAGAATCCGGATATGATTTTGATTTAGTCTGAACTCTTGCTAGTTTGGCATCAAACTGAATCAAATTGAAAAAGTTATTGAAACTCTAGACAATTAGAAACAATTGTTTCTATAATTATAGTCCATGATATCCTTTGACATGTAATCTGTAATTTAGGTGTAAATTACAACAATAGACAATAGAAAAATCTTTCTTTAAGAAATAATTTTCCAGAAAGAGCGAAGAACAGAAAAACAAGATTATTGCATGGTAAAATTACCTGGAGAGGTTTTTTTTTTTCTTTTCTTTTTTTAAAAGTACCAAATGCCTGGGCACTACTTTAGAGATTCTGGTGTGCAGCTAGCATCATCTTTTTCTCAAAACATCATGTGATTCTACAGTGCAGTCAGGGTTTAGAATCTAGTTTAACTTAAAGATAGGTAAAAATATTTTTACATTAAAATGAGTGCATTATGAAGAAAATGTAATAAACAGTCATGGGAGAAAACCTCACATAGCTTTCTGCAGGAACTTTGAGGCTAAACAGTAGAATTTGATACGATCTTGTCGATATAGTTTGAACCCTTGCTGGTTTGAATTAAACTGAATCAGATTTAAAAAGATCTCATAGGCCATTCTTAGAGGTCAGATTTTTTGTTTTTGCACAATATTCCATTGTATAACTCTTCTCTTCAGATTTAGTTAACATAGCCTCTCTGAGGACTAAGAATAAACTCTGAGATTATGTTCTGGTTTGAGGAGAGAAATGGTTAGGTACAATGAAAACAAATAACAAGGAGCTCTGTATACTAGTTAAATAATAGACCAGTGATAAGGTCCAAATGGCAAACAAAATGCGAATTTCCAAACAGAGGAGGATTAGAAGTTGGTGGTAGATCTTGAAACATGGCCTATTAATTTCATTTGGCCATTCAGCCTTTCCTGTGGTTTGTGGTACACTTGTGGTAGCAGCAGCAACAAAGGGCATCTAAAGTCAACATCAGTCCTCTTTCTGCCCAATGATTACACATGGTACCTCACCAAGTACCCTGGGGATTCCAAAGTTTCAGGAATATGAATAGTATGTGATTTTAATTAAGACTTGTGAATTCTTACAAGGTAAAATGAAAGCTGGGATGGGGGCAAGTGACGGAAGAATGATGGAAGGGTAGATTGATAGAGTCTAGAAAAAATTTAAAGGACAAATATTTTGTCAAAGTACATTTGAGATTGTGATATCTGGTTAAGAGAACTGCTCAAGACTGTTTTTTGTTTTTGTTTTTGTTTTGTTTTTTGAGACAGAGTTTCGTTCTGTTGCCCAGGTTGGAGTGCAGTGGTGCAATCTCAGCTCACTGCTAAGTTGCCTCCCGGGTTCAAGTGATTCTCCTGCCTCAGCCTCCTGAGTAGCTGGGATTACAGGTGTCCGCCATCATGCCTGGCTATTTTTTGTATTTTTTTTAGTACAGTTGGCTTTCACCATGTTGGCCAGGTAGGTCTTGAACTCCTGACCTCAGGTGATCCTCTTGCCTCGGCCTGCCAAAGTGCTGGGATTAAAGGTGTGAACCACCACAGCCGACTTACTCAAGACTCTTGAGCAAAGAGCTAGAGACTCAGCCTTTGAGATGCCCTATTTGAAGTCCCTTTAAGAAATTTTTTTAGGAATTTGGTTTGTTTGCCCCAAGGATATATATTCTTCCAGAAAGTTATTAGGAAGAAATTTGTCCTTTTTATGAGAAATAAAGCAAAAGAAATTTCTAGTTGGTTGCTGGGGTTCGAAAAATTTCTGCTGGGATGAGAATAATGTGAAGCGCTACAAACATTCTTCCCATGCTGGAATGGTAGAAATTATGAAACCTGCATCGAATTTACCATAAAATGCAGATAATCCTTGAGTTTTCTGTCAGGGAAATGTGAGTGCTAAAAATACAATAGCTAAAATAAAGTTTCACTGTATTGGTTTAATAGCCAATTAGATACACTGAAGATAGAATTAGTAAGCTGGAGAATAGGTTAGAAGAAAATATCTACCCTGAGACAGGGAAAAACAAGAAAATGACATATACAGAAAAGAGCATATGAGATATAGGAACTGGTAGTAAAGTCTATGAAAGTCTGTTGTCTCTCACCTAGTGTTGGGCCTAAAGTTGCTGCAGTCAGAAAGGCCTGCAGTTAAAAAGAAAAGTTGGATGTCAAGTGGGAAACACTGAGAAGAAAAGTTCTCAGAGGAAGCAATATCCTCTCTAAAAACCAGGACCTTTGGAACAACTCAAGGGTCCACTTTCAGGTCAAGTACTGAAAGGCAATGCAGATGACAATTGTATGGTATGTGATTACTGCAATCATTTGATGGAGAATAAGCATGTGTGAAGCCCTCTCACAGAATTGCTTCTAATCCTAAAATGTATCTCACTGTGATGAAAAACAATCAAAGTACAGTTTAGACTAAGGGGTGTGTCCTCAAGTTTAGCAGACTCAAACACTTACCTCTAGCTGTAGCTTGATTATTTCATTTTGCTTTTCTTTTTCTTGACTTCTTAGCTTTGCATTTAACTCTGAAATTTCCATCTCCTTTTTCTCTATTAGTTCTTTGTGCTTTTCTTCGTTTAATTCAACTGGATAAAATGAAATAAATAAAATTCATTCATTAAAAATTTCAAAAGTATTATAAGCTTGTATTTCTTTAGTGCTTAAAATCATTCCTAAGAAAGTAAATTTTATTAGTGAAACATATTTTAGAAATGGTTTACGTATAGAATAGCTTTTCTATATTTTTTACAAGACCCTGAATAATGTTTGAGACACACAGGTCACTTGCCAAATATTTTTGAATGAATAAGGTAATTTAAACTATTAAACATCAAAGTACTAGAAAATAAATGGAAGATACAGTGGTTGAAGAGGGACACAAAGTCTGAGTTTCTAGGTATGAAGGCTCAAACTACTGGATGACCAGAGCTACATGAAGTCCCTGCTATACTATTCCATATGATCAGGCCATTCTCATGTTCACATCATATCTTTATGCTTTATCAAATTTCTTCTTCTCCCAACTTTCTTATTCCTGTTAATGACACCATGACATCTAGGATGAGAGGCTCAAGAAAATCTTTGATTTTTAACGAGAAAGGAGACAGTCTACAAGCCCCACAAATGAAGGGCTTCCTAACTTTCTGATATATTTAGATAATAAATTTGTAGATTCTACTCTGTATGATTTAAGACCTTTGAAATTGATTGAAATTTGCCTTTTCATTTATGACATGGTCAACTTTCTTAAATGTTCCATGCACACTTGAAAATAATACATATTCTGCACTTATTGGGTATATTATTTATGTCAATTAGTATCAGTTGTTTATTTTGTTGTTTAAATTTTCTATATCATTACTAATTTTGCATATTTGTATGTACTTTTCTACCACTAAAAGGTGAATTAAAGTCTTTATGATTGTGGATTTGTCTGTCACCTACTAGTTTTGCAAATTTTATTTGGTGCATACACATTTAGAATTGTTGTTTTATTTCCATGGTAGATCGAACACTTTACATCATAAAATATCCACCTTTTGTTCTAGTATTGCTTCTTGCTTTAAAGCATATTTTGTCCAATATTAGTATAGCTATGCCAGCTTCATGTTGGCTATGATTTGCATGATACATTCTTTTCCATCTTTTATTTTAAATCTTTCTATAGCTCTGTATTTTAGGTATACTGAAAGCAGCATAGTAGCAGATTTTAATATTTATTCAATCTGGCAATCTTTGTCTTTTAATTGGAAATTCATTCAAGTTTAATTTAATGCATTTAGTAATATATTTGGGTTTAAATCAACTAGCTTATTATTTGTTGGCTTTTACATTTTGTGTTCATTTCTCTCTCTTTCCTTATCTTCATTTGCACAGAATAACTATTTTTACTTTCTTTTTTCCTCCTCTATTAGATTGATAATGATTAGCTTGATAAATAATCTTTTATTCTTTCTTTAGTGGTTACCTTAGAGTTTATAACATGCATACTTGACTTATTAGAATTTAATAAAATTAGTAGTTTTATCACTTTATGGACATGATACAAACCTTAAAAACTTTAACTCCATTTATTCCCCCTTTTATCTTTGGTGTTTTTGTACTATGTTAACTTAGCTAAATTAGAACTATGTTTCCCAGAATTCCCTTGTCTATATGTTCTAAGGTAGAGTTAGCCGTAAGAGAAACGTCCACAAGATTTGGAAGATGGAAGTATAGCAAGAACTAATTTGCTCTGATGTTTAGTATAGGATGCTGGGCAGTGTTTCAGTTCACACGTGGTGTTGCTGGCCTTCTGGCTCACCAAATCAGCAGCTATTATTTTTTGAAGGCCAGTGTAGAGCCCCAGGGAACGCTGCAATTTATACAAGTTGTCACTTATCAATGGATCATCTCAGTGATAAGGAAAAACATTTGGTTCCACAACTTCTTAAGCTCCCACCAGATTTCTTTTCTTAGTAGCTAGATGTCTCAGGCCAGGTGTCCTTGAAGCTCAATGGTGTAGGGCACCATCTTTTCCTGCAGATTGTCATGTCATTAAGGTTGAAGGAGGTAGAAGAAAGATGCAAATTCCAGTTCGTTCTCAGTATTTCCACTTGACATCCAACTTTTCTTTTTACTTGCAGGCCTTTCTGACTGCAACTTTAGGCCCAACACTAGATGAGAGACAACAGCCTTTCATAGACTTTACTACCAGTTCCTATGTCTCACATGCTCTTTTCTGTATATGTCATTTTCTTGCTTCTCCCTGTCTCAGAGTAGATATTTTCTTCTAACCTGTTCTCCAGCTTACTAATTCTATCTTCAGTGTATCTAATTGGCTATTAAAGCAATACAGTGAAACTTTATTTTTACCTACTATGTTTTCAGCACTTACATTTCCATCTATTTCTCTAGCATAATTTTCAGTTCTCCATAAAAATTCCCCAAGTCCAGTTGAGCTTGGTGGCTGACACTTGTAATCCCAGCACTTTGGGAGGCCGAGGCAGGTGGATCACCTGAGGTCAAGAGTTCAAGACCAGCCTGGCCAACATGGTGAAATTCTATCTCTACTAAAAATACAAAAATTAGCCGGGCATGGTGATGTGTGCCTGTGGGCTCAGCTACTCGGGAGGCTGATGCAGAAGAATCGCTTGAACCTGGGAGGTGGAGGTTGCAATGAGCTGAGATGGCACCACTGCACTCCAGCCTGGGTGACAGAGTGAGACTGTGTCTCCAAAAAAAAAAAAAAAAAAAAAATTCCCCAAGTTCTTTACTTCTTTGATTATATTAATCAGAGTCATTGTAAATTATATATCTGATAATGCCATTATCTGGATCATAAATGAATTTATTTCCTTTTAAAAATGTTTATAATTGAGCTTGCTTAGGTTTTTGTATTTTTAAAGTCAGATTTACTGCAGCATAATTCATATATAGCAAAATCTCTCTCTGTATATAGAGGTGTACAGTTTGATGAGTTTCAAGAACCATATACAAGAATCTAACCATCAACATAATCAGGTAAAATTTTTCTGTCATTTCAAAAGGAGCCCTTGTGCCCCTTTATAATCTATCCTTTTGCTCAAATACTGGCAAACATTGATCTGATTTTTGTCACCATAATTTTCTCTTTTTCAAGAATGTTGTATAAACTGAATTATATAGTGTGTGGACTTTTGTGTCTGGCTTGTTTGATTTAGCATATTGCTTCTGAAGTGATCATATTGTTGAATGTATCAGTAGTTTGTTCCTTTTATTGCTGAGTAATTTCTATTACATGGATGTACCATGATTTGTTTGTTTATGTTAATGGATTTGCTCGATTTCAGGTTTGGGCCATGATGAATAAAGTTGCTGTAAACATTCACAAGCAGGTCTTTGTGTACACATATGCTTTCATTCCTCTTGGGTAAATACCTAGGAGTGCGAATGCTGGGTCAGATGGTGTGTTATGTGGCAGCCATGACAATGAGCCTCTCAGATCTCAGGAATCCTAACTGATCACTTGCCCCAGCTCCTGCACTCTAAAATCCATTCCTACATTTAAGCTGAGGCCATGCTTCTATGGTTGCAACTAGTCAATGACAAGGTATGGAAGGAATATTACTGTGGGCCAATTCTTGAGAGATGTGGGATTCATTCACAGGTGAATTTGGATCAATGACTCTCCAGGGGCTTTACCTAACTTAGGACCGCACTGTAGCCTAAGACTTTTTAAAACCTAATCTTTCTTTCTCTCTTTCCTTCACAGAAGTTAGAGCTGCATTATGGATTGGCAGCTTACCTGGCTTTCTCTAATTCCCTCCCCATTTCTTCTCATAAGCATTCCTCCCAAAATAAATCTCTTGAATGTCTAATCCCATCTTGATGTTTCCTTCTTTAAGGACCTGAACTAGCACAAGGAAACAGGTATAATGGGGTTCTAAGATTGGCTCACTTACCACTTTCTGGGCAATGAGGAAGCCATCCTTAGTGGTATGTGGAGTACTGGTAGTTCCTAGTATACAATGGTGTTACAATTACTACAGATTCCACTAGAAGTAATCTGGAAAGATGTCTTGGTGGTGGTGGGGAATGCCTTGCAAGGCATTAATTATCATTAAGACATTTGAAATATGGATAAAATAATGCCCACAAAGCCAGTAGAGTTACCTCGTTACTGCTAAATTAAACTGATGTTCTACTAAAGGATAATGAGAAATTGAGGGCTGTTAGCAAAAGGTTACAGAATTAAAGAATAAATGTGAGAGTGAGAGATCTCTTTGGTAGCTTACAAACATGCTCTTACCTCTGGTAATGGAACATCAAACACAGCTAAGTAACAGAAAAATCTAATAGATTTGAAGAACTCCAGAGATGTTTAAATGCTTAGTCAAAGCAGGTCTACTATGATAAAATTTGGACCCTGGTTGGAAAGACCTGAGATTCTGAAAAACAGAATGGAAATACTTGGATGGATGCCTCTGAGGATGCTAGCTCTAAAGATTTCCCTAAGCACTTGGAGTCTGAAGAGGTGGCCCACTCTTTCCTAGTAAAAGCTAGCAATTCCCCTGTGGTGGAGGATGCAGAGGGTCCTCTCAGAAGCTGCCTCAATCTCCTCTTTTGGCTGCTAGGCCAATAACTAGGGTCAAGATGCACCATAACTTGGCTGGGAGATAAGGGAGAAAAGTGATTATATCTAAAAATATCAACAAGAATTATTTAGGTTGTATTAGGAAGAGCTGTGTGAGTACCCCTGTGAACAGATTTTGAGGCTGCTGGATCAAAGAATATAGAAAGTAAGACTAGGTAAGCAAGAATTCATTGACTCAACATTACTCTTTAGGGACAACAGACATAACATCCTAGCAAGGGCCTCAGGAGATGGGGCAAATGCTCTGCTAGAGTGGCCTTAAACCTCTAAAGAAAGCAATGATCAAAGCTGAGTGAAGCGAAAATATCTGAGCTGCCTGACAGATAGTAAAGAAAGAAATAAGGAGGTTGTAGAAAGTTGGCATGCTAGTATGAATATATTACATGAGGTAAGACAACCTACAAAAGGATTATGTTCTTTAGGAGGGTCCAGAAGACACATTATTAGCCGAGGCCACCAGAAATGTGCTGG